TTTCTCCTGAAAAATGCTTATAGGTGGAAAATTACAGTTTGAGGGGCTTCATGAATCCCTTGAAACCATCCATTGGGGACATCTGTGGCTTCCACATTAAGAAACCTTAAATGACACACATCTGAAAGAAAAAGTAAATTTAAATATAAAATACATAACTTAATCTATACGTAATGGTGGAGGAACTGTGGTCACAGGGCTCTCTCTAGGGATATTTTGGATTATAAGTGACAAGAAGGAGACTTCATTACATGCTTGGGTCCTCATGTCAAATCCTGGAGGTGAGGGATGATGAAAAACTGTGCATGTCTTGTGCTTATGCTGGAATTTTGTTTTCTAGTAATGCATGCCATTTTTCTGCATGGAAACTTGTATTTCACTATAATAGTCTGGGAAACATTTAACAGTCTGCTGGGGTTAAAGGTAAACAATAATGCCATTGGCAGTGAATGCATGCTCGTGTATGAGAGAGAGACAGAGAAAGATACAAAGAGAGAGAGAGAGACTTGCAAACAGAGAAGCAGAGGAAGATGTATGTAATGATGGGGAAATAGAGTCAGGAGGGTAGAGGTAGAGGTAGAGATACATACAGATGTAGAGAGTCAGTCAGTCAGAGTGTTGTGGGGACAGACAGAAAAGCACGAGACAGGCAGTCTGAGAGGCAGAGAATTTCCAAGCCTGCAAGTCCTTCTACCTGCTGACTAGCCATGGGACACCAGTCATGGGCTTTATCATCATGGCTGTGAAGGGCTATGAAGGGCTGGTGGATGATTAAACAAAGAGGTAAGGCCCCAGTGGGTGAATTATTCCCTGGGTATAAATTAGGTGATTCAGAAAGGACATCAGTATAGACCTTGTGCCACCATTTGTTAAGTAGTTGTCCAGCACAGGGCTGCTGGCTTAGAAGGAATCAATACCTCTCTGCTTTCCAGGAGTTTTTGTTGAACTTCTGTAAAAGTCTAGCTGAACTTGTGGAAGGGAGTTTATCTTATTTCTCCACGAACAAGAGGATGAACATCTAAAATAAAACATGCTTTCAACTCTTCCCAGAAATTTGCTAAGGTGTTTGTGAATACCTGGTCTGTTAATGCAAAAAAGACATAGTAGTCTTACGTGGGGCATCAGCTAAGGCTGGCATTCATATCAAGGGAGAGATGGAAAATTTGGTGGCAACATTTTTTGATGTACAGAGAATTACCCACCGATTCCCTGTGCAGTGAACGGCTATAATTCATGCAGGGAATGTACAGTGCCTTTAATGTTTTGTAACATGAAATTACTTGGAGTTTAAAATCTTGCTTGAAAAAATGATAGCTCACATCTTAGTGCGTATGTCCCTGATAAACAGGTGCTTCAAGCAGATATTCAGTCTCTCCTTTCTGCTGAGTTGATGAGAATTCTAAAGAATTTGCTGGAAAGCCTCCTTTTCATATGCCCTCGTCGCATTGCACTGACTTCATTTGTGCAGAGGTGACTTATTGATCAATCAAGCCTGGACACAGTTTTCCAGCCACCGAAATTAAACATCATGAGTACTTCCCATCCCAGGAGTCACTAACTCGAGAAACTGTGGATCAGAGAATAGAAATGGAAATCAAAATAATCTTGATGAAATATAGTCTGTAAATACAGATGGGAGTTTAGTGGCTGCTTATGTTAGGGTCCATCTTTAAGGGATGGAATTTTATGATTGGCTGGGAAAGTGCATGGTATGAAAGACATTTGTGGCCAGAGTTGGAGCAGCAGCCCTGAGTTAGGTTCCTGGAATCAGGAATTGTGACTATCTTGGTGACGTGACTTAACATGCTGAGTTCAGAACAGTGCCTGGCTCACTGTAGATGCTCAAACCAAATTTTTAATGAATGAGTGAACAAATGAAGAAAAGTCTTGGTATGTTAAACAGAAATAGGAGTGCATTAAGAGAAGGACTAGAATATAATGTTTAGCAATATGGAATCATTCATTTTGAAGACAGGTGAAGTGACTCAGGGATTTCAGAAGACAAGCGGTTGATGACTCAAAACAGACATAGGTAA